AGTATATGCTTAAGTAAAGTTATACCCTAAAACATGATTAAATATTGTGTTTTAATGAAAAAGGTGGTGTCTAGCGTGATTAAGCACAATGAAAAGGTCTCAAATGACAGTAACTTCACTGTGAAGTTAGGAAACGTTTAATGCTTCTTCAAAAAAAAAAAAGCAGCAAAGACAAGAGAAGAAATATTAAACCAAACTTTACCCATGCTACTAACATATTACTTTCAACAATTAAATAGAAAAGGGTATTCTTTACTCAGTTAATTTTGTCTTCATATTGCTTTTTCGATTGGCTTTTCGAAGATGAAACTTTGATTTTAGAAAGCAGATCAAGCATGGTGCCTTTCATATTGATTCAAAGGAATTTAATTTGTTCATCTTTAACGTTGTTGACATTTTAGGGTTATAAAGTAATGGTTAATATATAGTTTATACACACTTAACCTACACACAAAGAAGTTAGATGTCTTCTTCTTCTTCTTCAATGCCTATTTTATTCTCAATTTTGGATTTTATTAATTCAATTAATGGTCGTGCCCATAGGTTTACCCTTTTATCTAGCTGCACACTTTCATTGATCAACTATTTAATTTATTTTTTTATGAACTTTTAGTTTGTGGTATGTATTTGGCTCAAGTGATAAAGAAGAGATTACTTAAAATTAAGTAATAATAAAAGCAAAACGAATCATATTTATTATACAATACTCTTTTAAATTAAGTAATAATAAAAGCAAAACGAATCATATTTATTATACAATACTCTTTCCACTAAAGAATTTAAATTGTAAACTTAGCCCTAAATAATCAAATAAAGTACATTTAGGTCTTTTTTTTTTTTTAACTAATAAAACAAACTCAGCTCATTAATTTTATTTTTTTTACTAATAAAACAAACTCAGCTCATTAAATTAAGTTTTTTTTTTTTTTTTATGGGCTTCTTCTCACCTCATATGATAGCAATTCTCTCCCTATTTAATATATATAAAAGTGCAGCCACTCGAGTATTAGCTCAATAGTTAGATTTTTAGAGGTTGCAGGTTCTAGAGAAATTAAGACCTTATTTGATAAAGCATTGAAAATTTTCATTACGTTGAAATGAAAATTTTCAAAACCTTAATTTTTTTAATGAATTTGATAACACATTTTTAAAATCAACTTAAAAGAATTTTTTCAATCAAAGTGTTGAATAAGATCCACTTAATGCAGAAAATTTTCAATAAAATTTTCTTTTCTTCATTTTTTTTTTGAATTATTATCCCTAAAAACATTATTTATTATCTGTAATGAGAATAAAAGAAAAAACATAAAATGATAAAATTTCAGAATTCAATATTTTATAGTTCTTAAGCAATATATGCATATTCAGCATATAATTTTCAATAAAATATCAAATAGTTTTTATAATTCAAATTTAATATAAAAAATTCAGAACTTACTTTTTCAGCACTTAATTTTTTAATTTATCAAACAGAACATTAAGTAAATTAAATAGATAGGAGTAACTGGAGATTAATGGTAAATTAGAAATTTCAAAATATATGTTCAAATATGAGCTTTTTAAAGCCTTTTCTTTAAACAAAACACAAAAAAACACTTTGGGTTCCATCAAAAATCATTGTGCACAGTCGATGTATCTATTCGATAAAGACATGTTGATATGAGAAGAGCATAAAAAAAATACAAACAAGAAAAGTAAAAGAAGAAAGGATTAAACAAAATCAATGAAAAGAAAAGCAAAATTCCTATGATTTAAAGTGCCTTTGTCCAAAACTCGATTTGCAATTCCTAAAGATCATATGGTAATATACATTAATGTATTAAATTACATAAAAAGAACACTATTATTAAAAGCTAATTTCGATGAAATAATAAAGATTCTCGATCCAAAGAACAGTTAACTGAAGGATAATAATAATAATATATACACACACACACACACACACATATATATATATATATATATATATATATAAGCAACAATCTTGAGAATTAATTAAACTTAGGGAACCTTAGCAATGGAGAAAAATATAGTATATTGTATATATGAAACAATTTTATTTTTTAGTAGTTATTCTTTCTAAACTTGGAAGATTCCCTTCTCATTTTGATGAAAAGATTTAAAACCATTTAATATATATTATCATAATTGCAATGTGATTGTAGTTCATGAACCTTGTTTTTCTTGTAAGCATTTTTTTCCTCATCAGAATTACTTTATCAACTCCTTAGAAAAGCTACCACTAACATAACTAATAAACAACTTAAGATAAATTAAATATTAGAACTATCTTAATTAAAATTGTGTTTAAAAAGATTATTAAAAAAAATTAGTTTTTCCTTAATGTGAAATCCCACACCCAACTTGTAAATTATTTATTTTAATTAAAAAATCTCACAATTTTATTTTATAAAAAACATATTACAAATATAAATTTAAATTTTTACATATATTATAACAGTTCCTCACAATATCTTGATATAAGATAAGTGTGTTATAGTAACTATAAAAAAACTTCTATATAAAGTGTTAAATTGTATGAGATTGAATACTGAGAGATATGGGTTCCGCACAAACTTTAGAATGAATATTTTTTATATGTTAATTAACTAGCAAGGCCAATTGGATGCTCTTAACATGCTTAACTTGATTGACATTTTTTTTATCAAAAATAAATGAAAGGGAATCCTTGTTCACAACTAAGCTTTTACACATTGCACATGTATGCAAATTATACTAAACTTTGAAAGTATGGATTAAATATATATGTTCACTACTTACCTTGTAAGTAATATTATACTAATTAATTATTAGAATTGCGCATTTCAGGATTCGAACTTTTGATCATAATTAAATCAAATGACATATAAAATAAAAAAAAAATTAAGTGAGGCATATACGAAACAAGGAAATGGTTTTAGGGTTTTAATTTTCATAGATAGTGCTTGATATTATGGGAAATTGAGTTTCAAATGAAGAAAGTGCGGTTGAGCATAAATGCCCCAGAATGTTTCCAGAAATGCCCGGAGAAACAACAAAAAGGGATTGGTCCCTAACACAAAATTAACTTATATCATGATTCATGACTTTGCTTTAATCATTTTCTTCCCAATACTCTGAATTTTACTGCTCTCTAGTTATTATTACAGCCAACAAAGAAAATTGACATCTTAAAACCGCCCCACCAATGTTGGTTTGCCAAGAAATCAGTCTTGCAATATTGACTTAGCTTAATCACCAAATTGCAGTGATTAAAAAAAAAAAGAAGATTTTTATTTTTCCTTTAACGAGTGGATGACACAAATCCCCACCAAAGCAAATGGTGATGAAACAAACAGGGTGTTAATAAAAGACAAAAAAATAGAAAGACAAATTAGTGGGAAAAAAAAGGAGGTTTTTAGATACACCTAAATTGGCTTACATGTGAGAAAGATGAAAAAAGATGATAGTGCGCTTAGCCCACCATAGAGATAGGATTGAATGTTGATTCATAAAGGTTTTAAAAAAAAAAAAGCAAGGCAAGGCGAAGGCAATTGCCAAACCTTTCCCTTCCAAATTTTAAACGGACGGCCAGCCAAACCACATGTTCACATAGCTATGTTCTTAACTTAGAATTTAGGTTAGATGCTGGACAAAGCATATATGAACTAAAAGCTATAACCTACAAGGCTAAAACTTGCCCACATCTTCACACTTTCAACTGACCTAAAAAGACTACAATTTATTGGGTTTTTTTTTTAAAGCTTCTTTTTTTTTATTTATTTATAAAATAATTCACCGTTTAAGTCAAATCCTATAATCACATAGCCATCTTTGCCATCTACTTTTACATTTCCTTTTTCTTTTCTAAGCTAATGATGCAAAGTCGAAACTTCTTTGGTTCATTTTCATATTAGATTGAGGCCCAGTTTAAGGCCTATTACTACGGATTCAGCAGTATGGAAAGTTAGATTTGTTGGCCAGACATAAACTCAAAAGAACATAATGGTCCAAATCTACTTTCTCAAAACATGTAAATCAATGTAGGTTTCTTCTATGCCTAAAAGAAAAAAATTAGAGGAGTCTCAGACTATGAAAATTATTTTAAAAAAAAAAAAAAGAGAAAAATGGCTTCTAACCTAAGGACTTAGGACCATAAGTTGGGTTGTTGTTAGGTGTTTAAACATATGAAACAGATTTTCTAAGCAACCAATTCTCTAGAAGATCATAACTCTGCCCTATTAAATTCAGCTTCCAAACTTGGGGGTGATGTCCCAAATCTTTAATGCTAGTTGAATTGAGCTCCAAAATAGTTCAAAGTGCTACTAATATTTAAATGTTTGAAGGCATTTTCACATCAATCTTCTGGTTTCACAAAGCTTTCCTTCAACAACAACACCAAACTAAATCTTTTATCTCGTAATTTTAAAATCGGTTATTTTAAAAATTAAAAAAAATCAAATTAAATCATAATTTTAAAATTTTTACGTCACTTATTTTTATAAAAAAAAAACTTTTTAAAAATTCATGAATATCAAATCCGGTGGCTCCTATTTCATCTGACATCTCCTGGCACTGATGGGCAACTATCGACCACAATCCCATCTGTCTGCCACTCCAAAAATTTTCCCAAGACAATGATACTATATTAAAAACCCCCAATGTAACATTTATTGCTCATTGTTTTACTATTTGAAAAAATACTTATATAAAGGGCGAATCCTATGCTAAATTTGGAATTACTTGATAAGAATATATACTAAATCCTCATAAATTAGGTAGTTGTTAGCTTAGGAAATCTCATAAAAGTCCACAAAAATTAAAGTAGATCCTTGCCGAAACTGTTGATCCATTCAATTTAAAGGCCATAACCAGTGACGAGTGGCCCAAACAATTATGTTTGGCAAATGCAAATTGAATACGCCAACGCTCTCATCTCTCTCCACCTAAGCCCATATGATCACAGACTGCATTTAAGTGCAGCAAAGGCAGTTGGAGAAATTATTTCGGTTTTAAAAAAACTGATGGTGTGTTGCTCATTAGTAGTTGTTCGAGTACACTTCTTATAAATGTGAAGCATAATCGTTCTACTTTCCATGCAAACCTAACTTTCAGAGACTCTTTACCTTGTCTTGTTCTTTCTTTCTATAGAATATACAGTCGGTTCTCGATGGAGTTTCGTCTGTCCCCAGTTCTTGCTTTCCTAGCTGCAAGTTTTTCCCTTTTCTAGTGGATTTCATGTGATTACTTGTTTATTGACTTCAAATAACTAATGAGTTTTACCTTAACTTTATTTGTTGTTTGTTGCAGTTCGCGGTGGCAGCAAGCCATGCTGCACTCTCACCTGAACAATATTGGAACTATATGCTGCCAAATACTCAAATGCCAAAGGCTGTCAAAGTTATTCTACATCCTGGTGAGTGCTTAATAGCCAAGGATTCCTTTTCCTTCTCTTAAATCATTTTTAGTCATCAAGAAAAGAAGCTACTGTGTTCGTTTCATGCTCCCACTACCATGGTTTATGAGAAAAAAACTCTTATCTTGAGAGGTTCAGGGAACTGAGGGCTGTAGTAGATAACACCTTGGATTCCCTATAGGATTGTTGAGTGATGCACAAATCACAATCATGCAATCAGGAGCATATGCTGGTAGGTGAAGGGCTAAAATATGTTATACCTTTGCAATTTATTAAAAGAGAATGAGTAAAGTATGTTCTGTTCTGCAATTTGTTCCGGAAAGAAAATAGAATAGAATGTATCAACTTGTCATGAAAAAATATGTTGACTGCCGTATTAATGGTCATTAGCATGTCATAGTTCTATTAAGAAATCATCTAAGCTCCCTAGCACATGTTGATTTTGCAGACTTGGAGGATAAAAGTACCTCTGTCAATGTAGGGGGTGCTGGTGCAAACGTCAATACAGGAAAAGGGAAACCTGGGGGCACTTCTGTGAATGTTGGAAAAGGCGTAGTAAATGTAAACACTGGGAAGGGAAAGCCGGGGGGTACTTCTGTGAATGTTGGAAACGGTGGAGTACATGTGAATACAGGGAAAGGAACGCCGGGGAGTGGCACCACTGTAAATGTTGGTGGCAAAGGTGGAGTATCTGTAAACGCAGGACACAAGGGAAAGCCAGTAAATGTTAAAGCATCGCCATTTGATTACCTGTATGCAGCCACTGAGACTCAAGTCCATGATGACCCAAATGTAGCTCTTTTCTTTCTGGAAAAGGATTTGCATCCCAGAGCTACAATGACCCTGCACTTCACTCAAAACACAGAGACAGCAACTTTCTTACCTCGCCAAATTGCCCAGAAAATACCATTTTCATCTGACAAGTTGCCAGAAATTTTGAACATTTTTTCAGTGAAACCTGGATCAGAGGAAGCCGAGATGATGAAGAACACAATCAAGGAGTGTGAACAGCCAAAGATTCAAGGAGAGGAAAAATATTGTGCAACCTCACTGGAGTCAATGATTGACTTTAGCACTTCCACGCTCGGAAAAAATGCTCAGGCAATCTCTACAGAGGTAGAAAAACAAACCACGATGCAAAAGTACACAATAGCAGCCGGAGTGCAGAAGATGGCAGGTGACAAATCTGTAGTGTGCCATAAGCAGAATTATGCATATGCTGTCTTCTATTGCCACAAATCAGAAACGACAAGGGCTTACATGGTTCCTTTGGAGGGTGCTGAAGGGACAAAAGCCAAAGCAGTAGCAATCTGCCACACGGATACATCAGCATGGAACCCAAAGCATTTGGCTTTCCAAGTCCTCAAAGTTGAGCCAGGAACCATTCCCATCTGCCATTTCCTTCCTCAGGATCACATTGTTTGGGTCCCTAAGTAAAAGCTTGAAGAGTAGACTCAGACCTTTTAATTTCATCCATCAACTAAGTATAGTGTGCATTAAAACAGCTTAAAGCATATCCAGTTTATTTTATAATAATATACCTCAAACCCATGAGTTTAGTTATGCACAATCTATCTAGTTCACTTTTGTTATGAAAGATGAATCATGTACTTAGTTATTGATAAAATGGTAAATCTATTACAGTTCCATCCCATTATGAAAATCACTTGAGGTGTCGTAATCCTTTTGAGATCGTTAGAAGTAAAAAATTTTAAAATCGAAAAAAATGGATAGTTATCATCAATTTTTTTTAGAGTGATTGATCATCCAAAAATTTATTTTTGTAATAAAATTATAAAAATAAATTTGAAGTTTATCAAAAAGATAAATTTTGATCTACGAAAAATCAGGTTAAGTTCGAAAGTCAATTATGTATGAGAAATGATTAACATTCCTACAATGTTCATAAATTGATATCAATTAATCATGCATTATTTTTTATATTAGATGAAATTGTTTTGATTTAAAATTTAATTCTAATTTCTTTCATTTAAAAAATAATATTTTGCTAAAACTTTTTATTTAGGAATATTGAGAAAATCTTTAAGTTAAAGAATTATCTTAAAATTCTCTAACATCTAGGTAAAATTTAAAATAACTATTTTCGCTTGAAAGTTAATATAATATTTCTTAAAATAAAAATCACACTATTTGTAGAAGATAATTGTTAATAACTTTTCAACATCTAGATAGAGTATCAAGAATTATTTTTTTCGGAATGTTATTTTTGTTTTATTTTATAATATCACAATTTTAAAATACATATTTCTTTTTTTTTTCGAAAACGTTTTACAAGAGAAAGTAAATGAGGGTATTATCATGTAGCAAATAAAAATTAAAGATAGAGAAATGCAAAACAAGTGCCAACAATAACATGATGATGTATGTATGCTAATGGATGTTATGTAAGGTGATGAAATGCAACTTAAAAATGGATTCTTAAATATAATGAGACCATTTTGACTCTCCAACATCTAGGCAAAACTTATGTGCGACTATTTATATTTAAGATCTCATTTTATTATTATATTTTTTATTTATTAGTTATCATCTCATTGTTAAAGCGAATTAAGGACTTGCATGAAAAACTTAATGGAATAAAGTTTCCTAAATATCCCATCATCTAGGCATATTCAAGAACAAATTACTCTACCTGAGATTTTTGCACGTATCCTTAGAGTTTCAAAATGGTTTTGAACATAGGTATGGGTTGAGGTTTTAAAGTTTGGTGACTTTTGGGTGATGATTTGGGATTGCGTACCAATTTTGGGGTTTTAGGTTTTGAATTTTAAAATTTAAAGTTTTAGGTTTTAGATTTTAGGGTTTTGGAGGTTTATGGTATTGGGTTTAAGGTTTTAAGGTTTTAAAAGTTTTTAATTTTTTGAGTTTTGAGATTTTAAGGTTTTAATTTGAAGGTTTAAGATTTTAGAATTTTTAGTTTTTTAAGGTTTAGAGGTTTTAAGGTTTCGATTTTAGGGTTTAAAAGGTTTAAGGTTTTAGGGTTTCAATTTTAGGATTTAGGGTTTTTGTTTTAAGGTTTAAGGTTTATGATTTTGATTTTAAGATTTGGAGTTTAGAATTTTGATTTTAGGGTTTAAAGGGTTTAGGGTTTAGGTTTTAGGGTTTCAATTTAAAAGTTTTGAAGGGTTTAATTTTAGGGTTTGAAGTGTTTAGAGTTTCGATTTTAGTATTTAATTTTAAGGTTTGAAGGGCTTAGGCTTTCAATTTTAGGGTTTGGAGGGTTTTATGGTTTAAAGAAAACGCGAACATCTCTAAAAATCTTCAACATTTAGATGGATTTTTAAAGCAAGTTTGGTTCTTATAATTTTCAAAAATTAATTTAAAATTTTTCATGTTTTTTTTATTTTATAACAATTTTATTATTAATAATAATATTAATTTATTTATTGATTTTTCAATAATTTTTCAACATCTATGCGAAATTATCATTATTTAAAACACAATTATATTCTCTCCAATATCTAAGTAGAAAAAATATTTTTATTACTTTTATAATCATTTTATATATTTTTATTATTATTATTTTATTTAACACTTGGACTATTATTCTTTTAAAGAATATTAAAAAGAATCAAAAGTTTTTAAATCATTTTTTTATTATTGTTGTTGTTATCATCATCATCATCGTTATTATTATTATTATTATTATTATTATTATTATTATTATTATTATTATTATTATTATAAAATAACAAATATTTATTCTAATAAATTCTAAAAGTTTTAAAACAAGCATAAATAACAACAATAAATCTAAAAATGATATAAATAATATATAAAAATAAAAATGAAAAACTTAAACCGGACCGATCAACAGTCCGATCAACACTGATTTGATTGGATCGACAGGGGTTCGACGAACAATTCGGTTGAATAAACTAAAGGCTGGTTGAAGGGGGTTATCAAGTCAGGTTACGTGAATCTCGGGTCGAGTCACGGACACCTGCGAATTTCTCCCTTTTAAAATAATGTCGCTTTGCTTATTTGTTTTTATATAAAATACCTTTTTTTAAACCCATTTCTTTATTCTTTTCAAAAAAAATTCATTTTTTCTCTCAACTTTCGCTAGCCAAAAACTTAGAAAGCTGTGCACTGCCGATCACCATTTGCCATCAGTGGTCATCGATGATAAAAAATGTCAAACTTTTCTTAAAAACTCCTTTCAATTCTCTAAGCCCAAATTCGCCCTTTTTTTTTTTTTTTTGCAAGAAATATCCTCAATCAGTATAGATTGGGGTTTGAAGTTTTGGTGTTCTTTTTTTTATAAAAACCAAAACTAATATTTTTTTTTACTTTTGCAAGTAACTCGATGCTGGTGGTTCCTTACCTAATTGGCGATGACTGTATTTTTTTTGTTTTTGTTTTAATTTTTTTTGTGGTTAACGGTTTGGAAGGGGATTGGGCTAGGGGGTGTGGTTTGTGGGAAAAGGATAAGGCTTTGTTCGATTTGGGCATTGCGAGGGTGCGATGAAAGCTGACAAGTTGAGGATGAGGTTAGGATGAGGTTGTAAGGAGGTCAGGCTATGGGTTTTCAGAGTTGGGTCTTTGAAGGTTGGGGGTGTGCAAGTGTTGGTATGTGTGTGGGTGAAGGTATGCGTCCAAAAGCCTTGAAAGAGGAGGAAGCTAGGTGTTTTATGGGGTTGGGCACCTAGAATGATGGGTGGAATAGGTACTTAGTAAGGTATGGGTGCCATGGCAAAGCCGATGGCTCTAGGTAGTTTGGGCAGGTGAAGTGTAAGGGCTCTAAATAGAGGTTCTATGGGCTTTATGGGGCATGGTGCTGGCAGGGTATAGCCAAGGACTGGCTTAGGGTCTGATGGGATTGGGAATGGTGGCGATAAGGGCAGGTGAACAGGCAGGTGCCGTGCACAGCACCATGCCTATCCCTATCCCAACTCTCTCTTTTTTTTAAATAAACTTTTTTTTAATTTTAATTTTTTTTAATATTACATTTAATTATTAATTTAAACTAATTTTAAAAATAAGATTTCATCTGATAAACTCAGATAAAATTCAGTGTCTACAGTTACCCTTCTTTGTACGTTATTGATAATCAAGAATAAGACAAAAACAAATATAACAATTTTGTCCGAAGCTAACTCAATGACTCTCCAAAGGTTTTTTTGTTGTTGTTTTTATGTGTTAAAGTTCAATATTGAATTACAAATCAAGTGATAAAGAACGACTGAGATGATACCATAAAGCAAAAAATAAAAATAAAAATGACCAAGATTGAAATGTGAGTCAGAGAATAATGAGACTAGGATTGAACTGTAAGTCAAAAAATAAAGACGATCGAGATTAAATAAAGACGATCAAGATTGAACCAAAAGTCAAAAAATAAAAACTATCGAAATTAAATCGCGAGTCAGAGAATAATGACAATCAGGTTTGAACTATGACAGAATATAAAACAACCGTGATTAAACTGCGAGTCAGAAAATAAAAACAACCAAGATTAAATTGCAAGTCAGAGAATAATGATAACTGAGATTGAACCATAAGTCAGAAAATAAAAAGATCGGGATTGAATCGCGAGTCAAAAAATAAAAACGACTGGGATTAAACTGTGAGTTAGAGAATAACAATGGCTTAGATTAAACTGTGAGTCAAAAAATAACAATTATGATTAAACCGTAAGTCAGAAAAAAAAATGACCAAGATTGAACCGCGATCAGAGAATAATGACAATCGAAATTTAATTACGAGTCAAAAAATAAAAATGATTGAGATTAAACCATAAGTCAAAAAAGAATGATGATCGGGATCGAACTTGAGTCAAAAAATAAGGAGACCAAGATTAAACCACAAGTTAAAAAATAAAAACGATCGAAATTAAACCACAAGTCGAAGAATAATAATGATTGGGATTGAACCGCGAGTCAAAAAAATAAAAACGACTATGATTAATCCATGAGTCAAAGAATAACAACAACTAGGATTGAACTATGAATCAAAAAATAAAAATAACCAAGATTAAATCGTGAGTCAGAGTATAATGACAACCAGGATTGAACTACGAGTTAGAGAAATAAAAACGATCGATATTGAATTATAAGTCAAAGAATAACAACAACTGGGATTATATCGCGAGTCAAAAAATAATAATGATTGAGATTGAACAATGAGTCAAAAAATAAAAAATGACTAAGATTAAACTATGAGTTAAAGAATAAATGTGACCAGGATTGAGCTGTGAGTCAAAAAATAAAAGATTAGGTACTTCACAAATTGATAGTCTCGATTTTAAGAATCATGCTAGAGGTAATATTTCATCTTTAAGACCATCATCCTTGTTTTGAAAATGGAAAACATGTTGATTCTTCTTGATGTCTCATAGAGAAACCTTCAATACAACTTATCATAAGAGGTATGTAATGCATGCAATGATTATGATGAATAAAAAAAATAAAGATGCAATCAATTAATTATATCATGCTTTTTATTCATGTTAATTCAACTTTTGAAATTGGTTTGATTCTTTCAGACTTTAAAAGCTGCTTTTAATATTCTCATTTTTCTGAATCTTTCGATTTTTATCCAATTATTTCTATTTACTCTTATTTCGGAATCTCCAACTTTTGATGGACCCATTTGACTTTGGGTTGCTCTAAAATCTTCTT